TCCACTGATCCTCTCATGCATGTGATGTATGTATGTGTATGTACGTATGTCCACTGATCCTCTCATGCATGTGATGTATGTATTTGCATGTACGCCTGTCCAGTGATCCTCTCATGCATGTGATGTATTTATGTGTATGTACGCATGTCGGTGCTCGGCGAGGGTGGCGTACAGCCCAATCCTGCATGCTGTCTCATATTGCGGTTTGTTGTATGCGCCAATGAAAATCGTGTTCTATTTATATCTCATCTTTCTACCTACCACTGCTCAACCCCCTTCCAGATCCACCCCATCCTCCCCGAGCTGATCAATACTCTGTGCCGTCTGCTGATACAGCGAGAGCCCACAGTGCGTGACACCAAAGTGACACCATCAGCTGACACCACCGGAACACACACCGCTGCACAGCCCTCGGGGAACACAACGCAATACACGGCGAATGTCCTACGCAAGGCTCCTGGGGGTCAAACGGGTATGTGCTAGGACATATGTTGTATACTTGTGTATAGGCAGGTGCTTGCACTGGGTGTGTAGGTGTGCACATGTATCTGTATACAGATGCGTGTGCTGGATACACTTCTATAGTTGTAGGTGCTTGTACTAGGTGTGTAGGTGTACCCATGTATCTGTATACAGATGTGTGTGCTGGATACACTTGCATAGTTGTAGGTGCTTGTACTGGGTGTATAGGTGTGCCCATGTATCTGTATGTAGATGCGTGTGCTGGATACATTTGTATAGTTGTAGGTGCTTGCACTGTGTGCCCATGTATCTGTATACAGATCCGTGCATAACGTGTGCACAAGTAATACCTGCACCACTTTGCCTTGCGTTCCTATCACCATGTAGTACACTGCATTTATAGATAAACCCACAAGACTGGCGAAGTTCAGCCGATCGTGTACCGGTGCGGTCTGTGCTGCTTATGTATTCGAGCTGACTTCCTGATTCGTAGCATGTTTAGTTACCTATCTACCTACCTACTACTGTATATATATATATCCGTATGCTGTACTGTTTTTAGGCACCGGCAGTGATAGAGGGGCATTTAGTGTTGGACAATCATTCGCAAAGCCGGGTGGACGAACGCCAGGGAAGACTGGCATGGCCATGAAAAACCCTAATATGGGCAAGATCTTACCAAATATGGACCAGAATCTACCTACCCGGGGTGTGAGGGAAGAGGGAAATACGAACACGAACACGAACACGAATACGAATACGGAAACTGAGAAGTTGTTGAGTTATGAGAACATCATCACGAAGGATGATGTTTGGACTGTGTTTGCGGCCTATGCACCAGTTGGCGAGGGACAGGTACGTGCATGGTTTGTGAGTGGTCTTGAGTTGGGTTGGATGACGCATATTTGGGTACGGTGGCCAGCACGTTTATACGTATATATTCACAACAAAAGCAAGTACGTATATATTCAAATCAAAAGTACTTGGTTCCCACAAGAAAATACGCGTGTATTCAAAACAAACAAATACGTTTATATTCAGAACAAAAACACTGTATACCTACAAGCAAATACGCATATATTCAAAACAAACAAACACGTATACATTCAAAAAAAAAGAAATACGTATATATTCAAAACAAACCAATACGTATGTATTTAAAACAAATGCACTTTGGCAATGTAGCCGCCAAGTTAAGCTCTAACGTTCCCTTCTACCCTCTATAATAGTTCGTGCCAAGTCACACCGTAGCCTCCTGCACCGGAAATCGACCCTGATGTATCCATATATTGGTACTTTTACAATATGTACATAGAATGGTACATTTTTATTTCATATATATATTGATACTTTTATAATATGTACATAGAATGGTACAATTTTATTTCATACATATATTGATACTCTTACCATATGTACATAGATTGGTACATTTTTATTTTATAAATATATGGTCACGAATGATGTGATTGCAGAAAGTCATTTATAGGGATAGTTGTGTGTGTTTATGCACATCATATAATCGTAAATAGTTTGTATTTATCTCTTATTCATTTTTATACATAACATACTCATTTTTACACATTTTTATTAACATTCATAAAATTTGGATTGTATTGTATTCATCTCTAATTCATTTTTATATATAACATTTCTCATTTGTACACATTTTTAAACATAACATTCACAAAACTGAGTTGGATCGTATGTACACTCACAATCCCTTTCAGATACTCAGTCACACACACGGCCGTACAGTCACACACGCGTCCGTACGCGTCGTCATATGCAAGTGGCATATGCGCACCCCCACACATTCATGCATACACCCACGCGTGTACTTCGCCTGTGTTATTAACCACTACTAATTTGCACAGGCAGCGCAGTCTGAAACCGAAACCGCAACCACCGACCCAGCGCCACAAGTGCTCATGCTCTATCTACTGCTGGTGTACGAGTCTCTGGTTGATCCAACCACACACACGTCCACCAACACAGCACAACACACCAATGCCACGGGCAGCGAAGGCGACAACAAACTCACAGGCACACACGCGACATGCCACACACAGGGCACGGCTGCGGCGGAGTCGGGGGCTGTGGAAATGCGAAGCATGTATGTGCACCTCAGAGAGAGAGTATACTGTGTGTATGGGGTGTGTGGTGTGTGATGTGTGGTGTGTGGTGTGTGGTGTGTGGTGTGTAGTGTGTGTTGTGTGGTGGGTTGGTAGTATATGGGGTTAGTCTGATTTGACTGGTATGCATGTATGTGTACCGCAGAGCGACTATGTAGTGTGTTAGTATATATAACTATTATGACTATGTAGTGTGTTAGTATATATAACTATTGTGACTATGTAGTGTGTTAGTATATATAACAATTGTGACTATGTAGTGTGTTAGTATGTATAACTATTGTGACTATGTAGTGTTTTAGTATATATAACTATTGTGACTATGTAATGTGCTAGTATATATAACTATTATGACTATGTAGTGTGTAAGTATATATAACTATTGTGACTATGTAGTGTGTTAGTATATATAACTATTGTGACTATGTAGTGTGTTAGTATATATAACTATTGTGACTATATAGTGTGTTAGTATATATAACTATTGTGACTATGTAGTGCGCTAGTATATATACCTATTATGACTATGTCGTGTGTTAGTATATATAACTATTATGACTATGTAGTGTGTTAGTTTAGGTTGTTATGTATCTGGGCCATGTGCTCCACTCGACTTGTCTTTAATGCGTGTACATATACATCTGAGTGAATGTGTAGTGTGCAGTGATTGGGTTAGTTAGTGTTTAAGCTTTGTTGTTATGCTGTGCCTTTGTTTGTTTTGATTCCACTTGTATGCATGTATGTATACCCCACAGAGTATGGGTGGTGTGCAAGTTTTGCGTAGCCTGTACCAATAGGAGTTTTATTCGGTCTAATTGGGTACATGCGTGTATGTCTGCCTCTAAGAGAATGTGTAGTGTGAAGGTGTCTGTTGTTGTGCTATAGGGAGATAGGGTTTAGGATTTAGTGTTTAGGGTTTAAAATTGATTCCTACCCGTTCATACCGGTTTATACCGTTCCATTCCGTTTCATATCAGTTCGATACCGTTTCACACCCCTACCAACTACTCCGTACGTATTCACATACTCTCGCACCCTTTCCAACCAACCCGTTTCAACGCATTCAGTGAACTCCTCGCGGCCTCTGCGGTGACTAGCGGTGGCGTGTTGGGAGGTGGACTGACCACATCGGTTGTGCCGTACTTGCCTGTACGTTTGTTGCTGTCCGTGGTCACACGCAATCGACAAAAGTACAACTGTGTGTACCATTCACTGTTTGCGCTCCTGGTGGTGCGTTATAGGTACGGGGAGTGATGGAGTGTCAATTGAATGTGTTAATATCCATGTAGCATACATACTCGTATGTGTGTGGTGTCCATTGAATGTGTTAATACTTGCCTGTGCGGCTGTTGCTGTTCGTGGTCACGCGCAATCGACACAAGTACAACTGTGTGTACCATTCACTGTTTGCGCTGGTGGTGGTACGTTATAGGTACGGGGAGTGATAGAGCGTCAATTGAATGTGCTGATATGCATACTCCTCTATGTGTGAGTGTTATCTGCATGTGGTAATATTCATGTAGCATACATACTTGTGTATGTGTGGTGTCAATTGAATGTGTTAATATCCATGTAGCGTACAAACTCGTACATGTGTGGGTGTTAACTAGAACGTGTGCCCGACAAGACAGTAATAGGAAAGCGTTTGAAAATCACTGCCCGTGCTGGTAGCACTACTTACACGTGGGTGGGCAGCTACATTCTTCCAGGTGGTGTGTGTACACATTTGTGCGTGCGTATACACATGTGTGCGTGTGTATACACATGTGTGTGTATATACACATGTATGTGTGTGTGTACACATGTGTGCGTGCCACATGTGTGCGTGTGTGTACACATGTGTGCATGTGTATATACATATGCGCGCGCGTGTGTGTGTGCTGTACAACTGCGCATTCCATCCGCTCGTCTTTCGTCTGGTGGTGCGTACAATGCCACACTTTGCCAAGGCATGTCCACGTGGTGGCACCTCGGCGGTCACGTGTGTGTGTGTGTGTGTATGTGTGTATATGTGTGTATTTGTGTGTATGTGTGTATATGTGTGTATATATGTGTATGTGTGTATATATGTGTATATAAGTGTATATGTGTGTATATGTGTGTATATGTGGGTGTATATGATTGTATATGTGTGTATATGTATATGCAGGCTTGTTTAGTCGGATACTTCCACTACACTGTGTATGTATACATCTGGCTCCATCCATTGATGGAAGCAACTACGCGTGCGCAGGGGGTGGGTTGTGTAGGCGAGGTGTGTCTCTGAGGGGGGATGTTGCGCTATAAATAGACTCACACGCAGATACCTACTTACCCCTTTCCCCTTCCACCACAGGCACCTGTTCAATGTCAGTGATCTGCTCATGGGCGACTCACTCACCAGCCAACGGCCCAGCGGTGGAACAGCGTCTACTCAAGACTTCTCACTACGTCAACTGGAGGACATGTACCGAACTTCAGTGGAGGAGGACGCCCGAACCTCGGATGCGGCCAAGGCCCGAACTTCGGGGAGTGAAGAGGACCTTGCTGAAGTATCGCAAGATGGGATAAATGCGGAGATAAAGCAGCCTTTGACTGCACAGGCGAAGTCAGACCTGCGTACAGTTACATATATGACCGCCGCGGAGGTGTCTGCCGCGTTTGAGGAGTGGTGGGATATGGGCAACCACACACACGGACACACACACGCACCCACACAACCAGACATACACCCCTTTACACACACACACGCACCTACACAACCAGACACACACCCCTTTACACACATACACGCACCTGCACAACCAGACACACACCCCTTTACACACACACACTCACCCACACCCAGTAACGAGGCCACCCCACACTCTACTGAGATCCTGGGAGACCATGCACACCCAGACACCACTCAACCACAGCCGGCAATGGGACTGTCCTATACTATAAATAGATTGCTCCAACGGCTCAGCACGGCTCCCAACTTACCTACTCTCGCGGTGGAGATATTCCCAGTGGTGTTGCGCAATCTGTTGCCGGTGTTCACTGATCCGAAGGCGACGGGGTTTGTGCACACGGCCACACTACTCGAAGCACTGTGGGACAAAGGTATATATATATGATATGATATGATATTATATGATCTGTGTGTGTGTGGAGATAAGTATGGGTTGTGTGTATATGACAAAGGTAAATAAAATATATATAATATTATATGATCTGTGTGTGTGTGGGGAGACAAGTATAGGATGTGTCTATATGACAAAGGTATATATGGTATGATATGATACTATATGATCTGTGTGTGGAGATAAGTATGGGTGGTGTATATGACAAAGGTATATATATATATGTATACTGTTATATGATCTGTGTGTGTGTGGAGATAAGTATGGGATGTGTCTATATGACAAAGGTATATATATGGTATGATATGAAATGATTTCTGTGTGTGGAGTTAAGTATGGGATGTGTCTACATGACAAAGGTATATATATATATATATATATGTTATGATATGATATGATGTGTGTGTGTGTGGAGTTATGTATGGGTTGTGTCTATATGACAAAGGTATATATATATTATGATATGATATGTTCTGTGCGTGTGTGTGTAGGTAAGTATGGGATGTGTCTGTATGAGGTTGTGCTCCACAAGTATCCTGCTGTAGATATACAGGGTATGTATGTCTGCTCCTTGGTGTGTTGTGTATAGGTTTTACGGAGGTGCGTATACAAATAATGTTCACTCAGAGATAACCTAATTTATGTCCTCATTTCGCCCTATTTTTTTTTAATGATTTGGCCACCTCACAGCCAGTGCAGTGGCTCCCGAACAGCTGTGGGTCGTTACCGCTAACGAATTCCTTAGTCACGGCATGTCCGCCCAATCAAAAGGCCTGGCGCACAATTCTATTAATAGCCACCAATTAGGAGCGAGTACAAGCAACACACACCGGTGAGTCGCCCACGCCCTGCCACGCGCATTCGAGTCTGAATATGCCCTAAAAATCATCCCACAAGACCATTTCTGACCCCATCAATGTGTCCTGTCCCATTTTTTGGACTTTACCTACAGGCTTAATGTACACCAAGGTACCAAACGAGGCGCAGACACCTTACCCGCCACCACAGCCAAGCGAACAAAGGTCGTCTACCCGCGCGTACACACACACACACACGCGCGCGCGTACACACGCACAGACTTCCTCAAGGATCCTTTGCTGCTACTGCGTGTGGGTGAGAGTGTGCTTAAACATCCTCGCCTGCTGTCTATTCTGTTGAAGATTCTTGGGTGCGTGCTGGGCGCCGCGAATGACCACTTTGAACGGGCTACAAAGCTGGTTAAGGGGATGAAAGGTATGGGTTAGGCGTCTTATTGCGAGTGTGAAATAAGTGAAGTATCTCGAGATTGATGTGTGGGTATGTCAGTCGGCAGTTTTGGGCTAGGGTGTGCCTGTCCATGAATAATCATTTTAGACAACAACCCGCGTTCACGCACGTGGGTAGTCGATGGATATATATATATATATATATTATGTATGTATGTATTATGTATGTATGTATATATATATATATATATATATATGTATACGTATATAATATATATATATCTATATGATTATTCATTATAAATGTAAATGTATTCATTTCCCCTTTACAGACTCGACACCTGCCTCAGAGTTGGACAAGCAATTAGAAACAATCAAACTCTTCCGAGCGGCGGCTGTGATACAGTTGTTGCTGGAAGCCGTTGGCGAGGTTGGTTTATTGTGCTATAAATAGATTATGCTGGAATAATAACAAAGATGTACGTAATCCAACCACACATGTGAGTGCAAACAGCTCACCACATTACTATGACAACCTAGAGGGTAAAATCCTGTTGTATAAGATGCTGTGCGTTTACAGATTAACGTTTAACGTAAACAGAAGTTATACGCGTCAAAGGAGCCCTATTGTAATTGATATTCCATTTGCAAACACCGCACGCTTCTGCTATAAAAAAACTTATTGCAACATAAGAGCATTAGTACGTGCTTAGGCGAGTTCTTTGTGAGCCGCATACCAGTACCGTCGCATTGCTACTGCTATGTATCAAATAAGACAAACCGCCGCAGTATACACGTACAAACACAAGCCCATCTACCCCCCCCCCTCCCTCTCTCTCTCTCTCAAGGCACCCTCACGTCACCTGTCCACTCTTGTTTGCAGGAAACGTATCAGGAGACCTTTACCTTCATTCACCACCTGTTCATCGAACTACCCTCGCTCATCCAATTGGTGCACTTCCAGGTATGTGCCGGTTGGAATGTGCGCATGTCTCGATGTTGTAGCGGAAACCGCGGTAGTAGTCGAGATGATACCTTCCTTTACGTTATATTTGCGTATGTACCTCTACATTTGGAGATATGTAGCATGTTTTACATAAAAATATATATAGCATGTTTGACATATAGATATATGTCTTACATATAGAAATATATAGCTCGTTTTACATATAGAAAAATGTCTTACATGTAGAAATACATAGCATGTTTTGCATACAGAAATATATAGCATGTTTTACATACATAAATATATAGCATGTTCTACATATAGCAACATGTCTTAGATGTAGAAATACATAGCATGTTCCCGTGGGTTGGTGTCTGGTTTTAGGTTTTGTACTGGTAGTACCACTGCTTGAAGACTTGATGCTTATTTTTCACATACTCACGATGACAGTACTTAGCAGTTGTCGTCTACTTCTACGTTGTTAGTTACAGGGGAGTTGGAGTGTCTGTGCGTATCAACCCGAAGTGACGGTCATTATCTCTAGTTTGATGGAGGGTCTGAGTGGCATATTAAAAACAATTCTCATCCGCGGATAGGTGACGTGGGGTAGTGAACGGTGCGTGGCGAATTTTATTTATATCTACCAATAAAATAAAGTAATACAAACGCGATGGGACACCCTTGCGCCGTAAAACTCACATGCACATAAACGTACAACACAGACCGCACGTATATACATATACGTACAGAAGCACATACACGCACTCATGCACATTCACCGACATATGCAAACTTAAAACACACTCACCCAAGTATGGGGCCGACTTTTCATTGCATGAACACATTTCTCATATTCTGCCACACACTTACGCCCGAGCACGCACCACATTCTCATACACACGAGCGTATACTCTGCGTATATAGGTACGCCGTTGCCCGTAATGTGTAGCATTGTTTTGTTTTGGGTTGGTTTGTTTTGATCACCCCCCCACATCTATTACATTGTGTATTGATCGACCCCCCACATCTTCGCACAGACCTACGACTGTGCCCTTCTGCCGTTGACTGCGGGAGCCATCCCCTCCATGCACATGTGTATGGCGTTCATCCCCGATCTCGTGAACTCAGCCGATGTGGATCGACAGGTGTGTGCGTGTACGAAGCAATGGGTCCACGTCGGTGTATATAGTGATGTGCATGTGTATGTTAGTAATGGTGTATATAGGGATGTGCATGTGAGTATTTTACGGTATGCTGTGCATATGACAGTGTCAGGTTGCCTTGTGTAACGCACACGTATATGTGTATGACCTTGTTCCTCAGAATGCTTGTATGTATGGAGACTCACTGGCACGCGTATGTCAACGCATAAGGTGTCTATGTCCCCCATCACATTGGTATCCCAGCAGACTCATAAATTGTGTATACAGTTTATTTGCCGACGGGGAGTTATACGCAATGCATTGTTGTTGTTGATGAGGAGATGGCATGGTGCTAAGTAACAGTGCCTGATACTATAGACGATATACACCAGTATATACATACTGGCATGTCGTATGTGTCTATTGACCGCTGGAAGTGTGATTGAACCATTACCGCGGAGTATCTGTTCATTGGCAATATGCCATGTGGATGCTTTGTCCAAAGTAGTGTAACGGATTGCTATGCGTGTATGTGTTGTATGACTGTTGAATTACTGTATGTGTGTGTGTTGTATTACTGTTGTATTACTGTGCGTGTATGTATTGTATGGCTGTTGAATTACTGTGCGTGTATGTTTTGTATGTGCGTGTATGTATTGTATGGCTGTTGAATTACTGTGCGTGTATGTGTTGTATGCGCGTGTATGTGTTGTATGACTGTTGTACTACTGTGCATGTATGTATTGTATGGCTGTTGAATTACTGTGCGTGTATGTGTTGTATGTCCGTGTATGTATTGTATGGCTGTTGAATTACTGTGCGTGTATGTGTTGTATGATTGTTGAATTACTGTGCGTGTATGTGTTGTATGGCTGTTGAATTACTGTGCGTGTATGTGTTGTATGACTGTTGAATTACTGTGCGTGTATGTGTTGCATGGCTGTTGTAATACTGTGCGTGTATAGTACACATAACCGGTTCGGAAGGCGTACATGACTTAAACCTCTCCTCGCACGCAAACAGCGGATAGTGATGGGCAGATACGGGCACATGTCAACATACCCCTTCCCGCCAAAACCTCACATTTCCTTATTTGATTCTGCCACAGATCTTCGGCGTGTTGCTGGCCAGCTACTTGGTGATGCTGTATCCTCTAGTGCAAAACATGACGGCAATCCAAAGCGTTATGCAGTTCTTACAACGCACCATCGCAATTCCTTCCAAAGACAGGTATCTATCGAATCGATTGGTAACGCGTTTGTAAAACGCAATGAGAGGCGGATGTACACGTCCTAGCCGTGCTTGACGTATTTGGTTTGTAAGCAAATCGGATCGAGTTGAGTATGCTCACTATTTCCCATCGAATATAGCTATCGCATGACTCCATCAATTCGCGCCAGAAAGCCGTGGCTAGGCTATTTACGGGTTAGGGTTCTAGGGTTTTATTAGAACCCTAAAACCCTAAACCCTAAAAACCATCATCAAGGTAACATGTACAGCTTTACAATTACAAACAATACGGAGATACAAATAGATAAGACTTAGTTGGATGCTGATCAGCATGGCTACGGAGAGTATCTGTGGCAAAATCTGGGACGGGTATTATCTGTTTCCGAAGTAGTAGCGCGATATCATTCACGCCACTCTCGATGTACATGTTCGACCGAGCTCAACATGGCTGTATACTTAGTACACTAACTGTCATGTCACTCCATACGGCAAGTTGTAGCCCAATCCAAATCCAAATAGTTCGGTTGAGTTGAGTTGTTCTGCAGGGTCCGGGTCTCAGATATTTATCATCAGCATTCCATAACCCCTGCGGAAGTTACAGACTTTATTTCCTGCTTAATTGTCTACTAGCGTTTCACAGATTCTATGACACTCACCTCACGCTCTCTTGTTGGCACTCACAGGGTCGAAGTCCTGGTTAATTGTCTACTAGCGTTGTACAGATTCTATGACACTCACCTCACGCTCTCTTGTTGGCACTCACAGGGTCAAAGTCCTGGTTAATTGTCTACCTGCGTTGCCGCGGTTCTGCAAGACACTGCACACAGTAGAGCAAGAGTGCATTACCCTGCTGGTGTCCACGGCCCCGCTATTTGAGACAGAGTATGTATTCATCGTAGTCGCAGATAGCTGTGATATAATCTATTATGTGGTACACGTATCTGCAGAAAGAAAGTCAACCTGCATTGAGTTGGCAGTCTATTGATGTTACTTGCTGTACATAGGAGTGAATGTGTGTACTGTGTGCGTGCGTGTGTATACAAGGGAGTAAAAGAATACCCTGGGCTGTGATAGTGTGTGTGTGTGTGTATGTGCGTGTCATATATATATATATACATACACATACATATATATATATATATATAACTACACACACATATATATATATATAGTATTATTATATAAT